TACCTAGATAAACTTCTGGGCAACCAAATAAGTGTTATGCAGAGCCATTGGAAGGACAAATAATCGACGGACAATTCCGTTTATAGAGATGGTACGGAACCAAGATAAACCATCTGCAAGGACGTTGAAAACACTCCCACACGTGGACTGCATAGAGCGCTAAGTCCCAAGAATCCAGAAGACGAGCCATCTGTAGATACCACATGGTTCAGGCAGTGAACCACTGGGAAGCAATCAGTAGAGCTGGATCATGAAGCCTGAAGGAAATCGAATCCTCTGTAATGCTTGCATCACCAGCCCGTCCTCCAAACAAAGATTCAAAAGTGATCCATGAACCTGCCAAACCCCCTGCCTATGAATGAAACCCCGACCACCAACCCTGGGAATCCTGGAGAGCACTGGTCACAAAATTACAACCCAGAGCCGACTTGTCTGAAAAGACAAGCTTCGGAGCTGGAAGGCACCATGGAACCAAACTCCAAAACCCGAACCAGCAAAGAGCCTCAAACCAAAATATGGTGCAGAGCACTATACAGCCAAAATTCAGGATACCACACAGCTGCTCCACCAACCATCGAGTCACCCTGGCCCAATCCAACACCAGATGGCAACGGAACTGTAGACATAGCAAGCCTGCAGGAGGCAGAGAAAAGCAACATCAACTGATAGTTCCATATGAGGCCCATCTAAATACAAACCAGGTATAGAACCAACTGGGACTCGCTCCAGTTCACCAGGAACCCAAACCCAGCAAGCTGGTGAAGAACCAGATCCTTGGCTAAGATACATGGACTGCCTGGAAGACCAAACCAGCAAGTTGTTGAGGTGGGCCAAAATTAGAACTCCTAAGGAGATGTAGCCAAGCCACAACTCTTGCTAATCTGGTCAAAATGCGGGGAGCCAAATTCAAGCCGAAGGGAAGAGCCTGAAAGCAATAAGCATGACGCATCCTTGAGATTCAGGGACACCATGCAAGTCCCCGGTGGAAGAACCTGGTGAATTTGGCCACAAGTAGCCATATGGAAGGTTGGACAGGGAATGAAACTGATCAGACCTGAAAGATTGAGGATGAACTGCATATATGTACAGTATATAAAATATATGTATATGTAGATGTATACATAAATACAAAAAATGCAGGTCCAAATCCCTGTTGGAAACCGGCAACAAATGGGACATCCAAGAAAGAGACAAGGTCAGCTCGACCACACATGTCCAACCATGTCACAATGACTTGACAGCAGCAGAGAAGAAAGCTGACCCACCAGCCCCAACTGGATAAAACCAACGCTGAATGTAATGAAACCCCAATTCCTGGGCGTGGCTCCCAGAAGCTACTGTACTGACAGTGCCAAACTACAAGGTGCCGTCAACTGTAGAGTTGTTATTGGCCTACAGGAGACCATGAGCCCCAGAGCTGGCCACCTCAGAGGAGCAGGGACCAGTCACACCAATAAATTTTGATGTAAATTTATTCCCGTCTGCTACCACCAAAGGATAGCACCAAAAAAGTTATGAAACAAACCAGACCACTGCTTTGTTAAAACCAAACTACAGCCTCAAAACAGGCAAAAGTACTTCCAATAATGAAAAAAATGATAAATGCTAGAAACTAACACGAGCTAGTTTGTCCCAACTCCTTTCTCCTCATTTAAGGGAGAGAGAGAGGGGGGGGGCCCCCAGACAGGATCAGCCGGATACAGTGGCACTTTTATTAACGAGTTTAATCCGTTCTGGCACCGAGATCGTTATGTGGATAACTCGTCTTAAGAAAAATTTCCCCATTTAAAATAAAGGAAATAAATTTAATCTGTTCCACTCCCAAAAAATCCATACTTTTATGACTTTTTTATTGTAAATATAATACTGCACATGTCATTATAAATGTTTTGTTGTACTGTTTTCATGTTTACTTTACCTTATGAAGAGTCGTTGCTGGCTTGAGGGAGACGATGGGGAGGTGGGAAGAGGGGTTATGGTGTGAAAGGAGAACCCACCTCTCAGTCAGGCGGGCTCTCTCTTCTTGGGAATTCCACCCCATTGGGACCGGGTTGTGGTTCACTATCACTGGCTCTTCTTTTCTCTACTTTTGCAAAGAACGTATCTATTGACAATTGCATTTGTCTTTGTTTTAGGATGTTCCTAAAACAAGACAGCAAATTGTCATTAAACATGTTTACACACCGTGTTGTTGCTGCTTCATCAGGGCAGTTTTTCCAAGAATGTGGTCACCTTTTCAAACATTACCAACACTTCCTTGATCTCACTGGAAGAGAGATCCTCCCTTACCCCCCTCATCCCCTTACTAATGGTGCAAATTGTTGATGAGGACCTGCCATACTCTCTTGTGAGATCAGTCACACAGACACCACACTCATGCTTTGCTATAATTTCCTTCTTCAAATCCACAGTAATTGTGTCTTTCTTCCTCTTGACAACACTATCTTTAGCAAACAGCTTCTTTAGCGACATCGTGCATTACAAATTGTAGTCACAAAACCACAAAAACCCCAGAGAAAAGCGTAAATGAATCCAGGGGGATGCTTGTCGTGTGTGATACAACAACACTGGCGTTGGAGGTGTCCGAGAATTTGCGAGAACCCGCGAGACACTAGGAAGCATCATGTGGTTTTGCTCGTTAATAAAGGTGAAGCTCGTCAATAGAGAAATTTGCTGGGAGTGGCTCGCTCGTTACTGGAAATGCTCGTAAATAGAGCCGCTTGTTAATCGAGGTGCCACTGTACTCCATCACTAGTTATTATGGAAACCACCCAGACACCCTGGAGGAGGGAGTGTGTCAGGGTGCCAACAGGGCTCACCCAGAAATTTGCATTTTATTACACTCAATGCTGGTTTTTTTGTGAGGAATCCCTTGTGGCTCCCTGAAGCTATATACCCAGAGAGAATGAAGAAAGGCCACCTACCAGGGAGGAAAAAGCACCACAGGTATCAAGACGAAAGAGACCAACCAATGGCCGAGAATGCAACCCAAGGCCACACAAGGTTGCCGAGGACTGGGAACGTCAACAAAATACCAGGCTGCTGGAACATTGTTCGATCTACCTGGAGCTTACCTGGAAAGGGTCTCGGGAGTTTTTCTACTACATGAGCCCAGCCCGAGGCCAGGCTCGACTTGTAATAACATTGTCCAACAGGCTGTTGCTTGCAGTGGCCTGTAGAACCACATATCCACTACAGCCCGGTTGGTCCAGTACTTCTTGCAAGAAGTTATCCAATTTGTTCTTTAAGTCCACCTTTGTTCTGGCAATATTTCTAATGCTATCTGGGTTAAGTATTGAACAGCTGTGAACTGTTCTGAAAACAGCCGTTTTCAGATGGTATTCTCTGACTGTGCCTATGGCACCCCTGCTGCTCAATAGCTTTATTGTACATTTCCTTCTGTATCTTTCGCTCCAGTAAGTTATTCTACTGTATAAATTTGGGACTTGGCCTTCCAGTATCTTCCCATGTCTACTGTATATTATTTGACACCTCTCTCGTCCCCTTTCCAGAGAGTACATCTTTAGAGCATTGGGATGGTCCCAGTAGTTTAGGTGGTTTATTAGGTCTATGCGTGCCGTACACGTTCTCTGTATTCTCTATTTCAGCAATCTCTCCTGCTTTGAAGAGGGAAGCGAGAACTAAGCAATACTCTAGATTGGACAGCATTAGTGATTAAAATAGTATTAGCATTACTGTGGGATCCCTGAATTTTAACTCATAATCCATCTTATCATTTTCCTGGCTGCCGCTATATTTGCTTGGTTATGTTCACTAAATGTCTTGTTATCAGACAATTTCCAGACAAGTCAAGGATGAGCTGGAGATCCGGAGAATCTCGTTTCGGGACCAGAAACAGGTAAAAAAAAAACATAGAAAATTGTCATTTCAAACACGCCTGAAGCCACCCATTCCAAAATAACTTGGACCAAGGCAAGGGGAAGTGGCCTGCCCCAAAATGCCCGAACCCTAACGTGGTTAACAGGACCAGCCAACTCCCCACATCGTAAGAAACAACCCAAAATGCCCACGAGTCATGGGATCAAGCGTCAGCAACCCAGCTAACCTCCCCCTAATCACCCCATCATAGATGTGACATGCAAAAGGTTGAGAGCGAACCTCGTGAGCCAGCCTACTGAACAGTGTGATCACAGTGCCTACTAGTCGAAGTGGCTGCGGGATGCACATGTGACCTGGCATCTGACTCCAAGGAAGACCTACTCCAACCAACAGCATGCAATGCCCTGGCCCTGACCTTAATCCCCATGGGAGGGAAGAATGACCCCCCCCCCCCGCACCCCCGTAAAACACACGGGTCAGAAATAGGCCGACAAGCAGTGGCCACAGAAGACAGGCATAAAGAAATGGGAGAAGAGATGAGAGTCAGGGGGCCCATGCAAAGCAAAAGGACCGGACAAGCACAGTCTGCCATCACATGAGAGTGGAGGCGAAAAATGTGACACCATCTCCCAGAGGATCAGAGCATACAGCTTAAGGAAAGCCACTGACGCAGAAGCAGCAAAGACCAGAAACCCAACAAGAGGAACCTCATCAAGCACCCCCAATGTTCTCCTAGAGCCAATCAGAAGAAAGTGCACGAAGGTCTTCTGCAACTAACATAGCCGACAGCTAAGGGACTTAAGCATGCAGCTGCACGAGATCAACATCACAGGAGAGAGCATGAGCCAAGAGACATGCATTGAAGGGCTCAAACCAGAGGAGAAAAGCCAGATTTTCATACATTTTAAAGCGAAAATCAATGATGCAAACAATTGTCCAAGGGTTATTATTATTATTACTAATTATTATTATTATTATTATTATTATAATAAAATTACAATATACAGAAGATACAAGTAATACACAAGCCCATAAACATTAAATACCACTTACAAATCCAGGTTAGATTTACCCGAACGCTGTCCACTTTTTATGTGCATAGTATGTTACCCGAGACAAGTGATCATATTACCTTGCCACAAATATAAAATGCTACTTACATATGATATCAAATGCTATCTTTGTATTGTCATATTGGGCTTCCAAAAGTTCCTTGGCGGATAGTGAATCAGCACGAACTTCAATCACAACTTTGCCCGATCTCCCCTCCATAATTTTGTTGGCAGTTGAAATGAAGCTCAAATTCAAATCCACATTTGGGCAGCGTATCTTCTTTATACTGGCACAACCTCGAAGAATGCTGATTATACAGAAATAATATTTAAGTACAGTGGCATGGACTAAAAATTTGATAATGTTCTATACTTAAAAATTGGAGAAATTTGAATTTAATTTAAATTCCAAATGAACAAGGTGTGCTTCTCACATTTTAAACTGTCAGCCATGCATGAGAACTGGTTTGGTGATGCTCAAGTTGCTACAAGTGCAAGATCTGAAGTGTTAATTAGTCTATCAAGTTTTTGTTAACAGTGAATACACTGTTTTAAATGAATGATTATGATAAAAATTACCAGGATTGTGATAATAGCAGAATTGTTGTGAGAATTAGCACTGTGTGGGAGGAGTAATGCTGAGGGAGGGAGGGAGGCAGTGTCGTCTGCTAAATTGGTGTGGCCACCTGTTATCTGCACTCGCCATACCAGCTTAGTGGTTCGTTATGAACACAAATGTAGATACTTGTATATAACGTGTGAATTACTGTAATAACAAAAGGAGTGTGTTCGGAGGAGTCATTTGGGTGACTGAGGTGGCGTCGTCTGCATGACTTGTCGTGCTGTGTAGATGGTGGCCACTATGCTCTTTGGGCACCATAAAAGCTTAGTTGTACAGTTATGGTGAATAAAGCATATAGATACTTATTATACTATATACACACATTATTTATAACACTACAATCAATCATTACTGTTGGGGGAAAATAGTGCATCTGGCCTTGAACCGTTGAGGGGAGGCAGCCACTAGCCGTGTGTGTTGCGACTTTTTTCATATTGCCTGAACCCACCATACCAGCTTAGTTGTAAGGTTATGGTGAATAAAACATGTAGATACAGTACTTACATGTAACGTCTGTATATAGTGAATAAAAGCAAAAACAGTATGGTGGAAGGATAATGTTGGCTAGTGAGATGTTGAGTGAGGGAGTGGCGGCGAGTGGCTGGCTGGCTGGCGTGCCTGCCACCACTCCCGCTTGATGGGGTTCTGGGAGTTCTTCTACTCCCCAAGCCCGGCCCGAGGCCAGGCTCTACTTGTGAGAGTTTGGTCCACCAGGCTGTTGCGTGGAGCGGCCCGCAGGCCCACATACCCTCCACAGCCCGGCTGATCCGGAACTTCTTAGAAAACAGTCCAGTTTTCTCTTTATGTCCACGGTTGTTCCGGCAATATTTCTTTAGTCGCTGAGAGGACGTTGAACAACTGCGGACTTCTGATATTTATACAGTGCTCTCCGATTGTGCCTATGGCACCTCTGCTCCTCGTTGCTTTTCTACGTACATACAAACTCTGTGCTTCGTTATGGTGAACAAAACATACAGATAGTTATTACATTATATACACAGGTTATATATAACAGCAAAACTATTTGTTTATGGTTTTATGAACATAATTGAACCACTAATATGCACATCTTAATTTTCAGTATTGCGGTGATTCACCTCTTATTATATAAACACATCACACTACACACTATTGAATAATATTTACCAGTCTCCGTGGTGTAGTGGCAAGACACTCACCTGGCGTTCCGCGAGCGCTTTGTCCTGGGTTCGTATCCTGGCCGGGGAGGATTTACTGGGCGCAAATCCTTAACTGTAGCCTCTGTTTAACTTAACAGTAAAATGGGTACTTGGTTGTAAAAATGATTCTTCGTGGGAGTCGTATTCCAGGGAACATAGGATTAAGGACTTGCCCGAAATGCTAAAACACTAGTGGCTGTACAAGAATGTAACAATTGTATATATAAATAAAAAAAATTACTGCGGAAAAAAACTGAAATAATTAGGTAATATCTTTATAGCAACTCTCACCAGACAGCTGTGGCAGAGCTGACTGCCTCTGATGCTTGCTCTGTCAACGCCTACATTTTGCCAGACTTCCTCGGCCTATTGTGGCCAAAATATGTCGCCTACGATTTTTTTTTTTTATTATCCCGTGCTCAGTGAACACAAATGAACATCTTTAGAAGATGAAAACAAATTTTAGAATTTTTGTTTCTTGCGCACAGGTGTGTAAAAGTCCTCAGATCCCTTAGCAGCTTGAGGGTTAAAGCTGAATTCTCTCTCTCACTTCCAATATTTTTTTATCTCCCTCCTATGTTGGTATATACTACAGTATTTTCACAAACATTTCCTTCCCTTTTGTCCTTCACTCCCCCTTCTTCTAATGATTTTCTTGCACTGTTTATGTGTACCATTTCACTAGCTTTCCCGTCCCTAATGTAGTATTAGGGATGGGACAGTATTTAGGTCTGGACAGTAGTTGGGTCAGACTGTCCCAAATATTGGGACAGTGTTTCCCAATATTTGGAACAGTACCAAAGTATTTTATACAATACTTTGTAGAAAAAATGTATTTCTTCATTTCTATTCCCAATTAGGCATTTTGCTTCAATGAGGTTAATTTTCAGCTTTTCTGTGTCTTCCTTTGAGAGGTCTTGTCTTTTTGACCAAAGTTTGCCATCCTCATCCCTCTGTAATTTCCTGGCATTTCTAAGCACTTCCATCATGAGTCACTCCATTAGATGTCACCCTTAAGGGCAGTTCTTATCTCATTTTCCTGTTCTAAAATCACCATTTTCCTTTGAATTTAGGCCTTCTCCTAAGCCTACTATTTTCTCTATGATTTTTATGTCTTCTGCTGCTCTGTCCATTCTAGATGACATTTCCTTTTCTAAACACCAAAAATTATGGACTTAGTTCTATCTGCAGTGTTTTGTACTAGTTTACTGTCGGTTACCAGTTCTTTCCTAATTGCTTGCCTAATTTCTGCTTCTTGTTGGTTATGTCTGGTTTTGACTTTCAAACACACTTCCTTGATCATTTCTCTCTCTCTTTTACAACTTGCCCGTATGTCTTTCTTTGTACGTTTCTAGTTCTTTATTAACCACCTCTATGCGAGTTCTCAGCGAAGTTTCTCTTTGCATACCCTTGTCTAACATCGTGTAAGCCCTCATGGTTCCTTGGAGTTGTTCACCGTATGAGTCTACTTGTTTATTTCTTAAAATTCATCACACTTTACTTTCCATACTTTATTTTCTTTCACTAGTTCCTGGATTTGTTCCTCCTGAATCTTTACCTTGTCCATTAATGCAGCAATTTTCTTACCTTGTTGGAGAATACTACCTTTTAAAGTACAAAACTAACCCTTGAGAGCTCCATTTAATTCCAATTCAACTACTTTTTCTTCACACTACTTTAGCATATACTCAATTATCTCTAGCCTGTAAAGGAAACTGCATTTCATTATATCTTTGTGAAAATCCTTTGAAACAATCATCAGTTGGTCTGTTCTCATTCCCGTGGTGGTGGCGGCCACCTTTAATATTCACGATAATTTGTTGCAGAAAAGCTTTTCTAACTCAGAATTATCACTCGCTTTCACTTTCTTGTCATCTTGTTTATTTTTTAAACTTCCCTCAACCTTTATGTAACCTGGGACACCCCTGTAGCCCTCAACCTGGTTCCAATACTTAGGTAATTCAATATTCCTGGAGCTTGCTACAGTGTGACTCCTGCCTCTTCCAGCTTCTGGATGCATGTAATTACATAAGTGTAGTTACAGGATGAGAGCTACGCTCGTGGTCTCCCGTCTTCCCAGTATAGTACTCTCATAATGCTTTGACATTACGACGGTTTTGGCCTCCAACTAATCTGTTCCAACCGTCTACCACTGTTTGCGAAAGTGATTTTTTTTACAGTATTGTTTTTAGTTTAACCCTTAACATGCTCGGGGTCTAATATCCTGCCATCCCCACAGGCGCATGTCATTTTGAAAAAAAAAAAAATTATTTTTTCTTTCTAACCTGTTAATTTGTGTTCACTGATCACGGGAAAAATAATAAAAAAATCGCAAGTGGCATATATTGCCCACTATAGGACGGGGAAGTCTGGCAAATTATAGGCGCTGACTCAGCGTGCGTCCCAGGCAGTCTGTTGCTCGCAAGCTGTCAGGCCGGAGTTGCCACAAAGAGATAATTACCGAATTATTTCAATGTCTCTGATTTTTCATAGTTTTTTTGCTGTAATATTATTCAATAGTGTGTAGTTTGATATATTTATATAACAAATGAGTGAATCATTGCTGTACTCAAAAATATGGTGTGCATATTGTTGATTCAATTATGTTCATCAATCAGTGAACAAATACTTTGTCGGTTATTACACTATAAGCACAGGTTTATATAAGTATTTGCATGTTTTGTTCACTATAACGAACCACTAAGTAGCTATTATGAGTCAAAAAGTAATGAGGAGTGACCGCCGTGTACCAGCCAGCCACAGTTATTCCGAACAGTCAGTTATGAACAGTCGAATCCAGTTATTTTGTACATAGTGATCATATCGCCTCTTTCTTCTATCTTCTACTTTTGGCATACTTAACACTTTAATGCGCCCAGCATTCGTGAAAAAAAATAGCGCATTGTGCGCATGGCGTTTTGGGCTCTTGAGCGTAAACACCAAAAAGTGTGTAATCTTTTCACTCTCCTGACACCAATTCTCGAGCTACGCATTTCATTTTGGTATCAATGTGTTCACAATAAAATTCTCTACAAGATCATATGTATAAAATGTCACCAAAGCCTTAGCTATCCCACCACGAAATAAATAAAACGTAGATCACTCGCCGTGACGGACAAACAGCAACAAAATGTTCATACTCTTTTGTTTGTTGTCAGCTCCACATTAGTCCTACAGCGTTAAATTTTATATCACTGAACTCGCAATAAAATTCCCTACACAGACATATGCATATAAATGTAGAATCATGATCGCGTCCCACACCAAGAGTGTGTGAAGTGGGCGATTACCCTCGTTGTGTCAACAACTCTATAGTCTCTCCACTAAGTTACAATACAATGTCGTTCTCCCAAATAGGCCAAGTGCCTATTAGAGAAAAGAGAAATTTAATGGCAAACATTTTCATACTAACCCCAAGTCGATCGAATAAGAATTGGATTTTATATGTTTTTTTTACATCGCGCAGCTATTTTCGACGCGGCTACAGAACCCGTTTAAGCAAACAAGTCGTGTACAGTATTTACGACCTGGCTGTATTAAAGTGTTTAATTAATACCTCTAACCTCTCCTCATGCTCTTGTCCTTCAGTTCTGGGAGCCACTTACTAGCATGTCTTTGTATCTTTTCCAGTTTGTTGATATGCTTCTCAAGATATGGGTACCACACAACCGCTGCATATTCTAGCTTTAGTCTAACAAAAGTCATGAACAATTTCTCTAGGATTTCACCATCCATGTATTAAAAACAATTCTGAAGTTAGAAAGCGAAGCATAGCCTCCTCACACAACATTCTTTGTGGTCACATTAGTGTGATGCATCAAATGAACAAATCCACAAGGGCCGTGACGAGGATTCGAACCTACGTCCGGAAGCATCCCAGACGCACGCTGCCTTAATCGACTGAGCTACAACATGGTCAAGAGTTGAAACCGAAGTTCTACTGAACTTGCTGAATCTTGCAGCCTCTCCGAGGCACTCGAGGAGACGAGTGCAGGGGGTGGGGGGGGGGGGGGGGGGGGGGGAGTTGTGCAAAACCCTAGTTTGTGCCTCGGAGAGGCTGCAGGATCCAGTAAGTTCAGTAGAACTTCAGTTTCAACTCTTGACCATGTCGTAGCTCAATCGATTAAGGCAGCGTCTGGGATGCTTCCGGACGTAGGTTCGAATCCTCGTCACGGACCTTGTGGATTTGTTCTTTATGTGGTCTCCAAGCGATAGTTTTCTATTTAGAAGCACCCCTAGATCTCTTTATCAGAAGTCTTTAAAGATTTCACATAATCTATAGTTTGTGTGGGGTCTATGTTCTATTCCACATTCCATAACATGGTATTTATTCACATTAAATTCCATTTGCCAAGTGGTGCTCCATATACTTATTTTATCCAAGTCTTCTTGAGCAGGCATTAGAATCAAAGTTTCTTATCCTTCCTATTATCTCGGCATCAGCAGCAAATATGTCCATATAATTCTGTAATCCATCGGGCAGATCATTTATGTAGACAATGAACATTACTGGTGCAAGAACTGAATCCTGTATTCAGCTATTTGTTCTTGCAGAGGTTGAGCTCTGCTCTTTCAACCCACCTCAACTGTCAATCAACTCCCCCTTCCCCACACACATCCCAGGAAGTAGCTCCATAACAGCTATAACTCCCTGGCACCTATTTACTGCTAGGTAACAAGGGCATCAGGAGTGAAAGAAATTTTGCTCATTTGTTTCTGCCTGATCCGGGAATTGAACCCGGGGCCACAGAATTAAGAGTCCTGTACGCAGTCAGCTCAACTACCAGACCCCTAACCACAAGTGGAGTACCCCTGTGGTACTCCACTTGTGACATTTCTCCAGTCCAATACATTGCGTCTGATTCCTGACCTCATTTTTCTATCAGAAAAATTTTGTTGGAAGCTTACCTGTCACCCCTCCAATGTGTTTTAGTTTCCAGAACAACCTCTTATGGTGAACTCTGTCAAAAGCCTTTTTTAGGTCCAGATGCCATCAACATTTCCTTCCTGTAAAATCTCTGTGGCTCGATCATAGAAACCGAGTAAATTTGATACACAGGATCTTCCAGATGAAAACCCATACTGTGTCCGATATTATATAGTTTCTCGCCAGGTGTTCAACCCATTTAGTTTTAATTATTTTTCCAATATTTTGATTATTACCCTTGTCAATGATACAGGTCTATAATTTAGGGGGGGGGGGGATCTTCCCTGCTGCCACTTTTGTAGATTGGAACTATGTTAGCCTTTTTCCGCATATGCTACGACTCGTGTACGGATGCCTGAATAATCAGTTTAAATGGAATGCCGAGTTCAGGTGCACACTCTCAGAACCCATAGTGAAACTTCATCTGGGTCAACTGCTTTGTTCTTACTTGGCTCCATGCACATTTATGCACCTCTATGTGCTCTATGTTGCTCTCTGGTATTTTTATTGTCTGGTTCCCTGAAGATTTCATTTTGTACAAACACATTTTTTATTTTTTTGTTTCATATTTCACACATATCCTTTTCATTTTCTGTGAATCTGTCTCAAATTTTCAACCTCTGAATATTATCCTTTACCTGCAGCTTGCTTTTAATGAATTTATAGAAAAGGCCTAGATCTGATTTACATTTGTCTGCTATACCGTTCTCAAAGTTCCTCTCTGCCTCTCTCCTTACTGACGTGTAGTTGTTTCTTGCATCGTTGTATCACTGGTATGTTTGGGGGTTTGGCTCTTCCTATAATGATTCCATGCTTGTCTTTTGATCTCTGGCCCTCTCGTAATTTCTGATGAACCAACCCTGTTTTCTAGGTCTGCAGGTCTGTTTTGCTATGAATGTTTGTGTTCCTTCATCGTATACTTCGCAACACTTGGCATACATCTCATTTACTTCCTTGCCTAGCAACAAGTCTGTCCAATTATACTCCATGAAAAATTTTCCAAGTTCCCCATAACGTCCTCTTTTGAAATAGAGTTAATCAACAGTTTCAATGTCCCCATTCTCTACTAGATTATATCGCAAAGCATATTTAGTGTCCAACAGGACACGATCACTCTTTCCCAAGGGAGGAAGGTACTGGATGTCAAATACCTCTTTGTATTTAATTAATAAATTTAGTTATACAAGAATCTTTATATTAAATTGTACAAGTATAATATAATTATACAAGTATAATTTACTTGTATACAAATATACAAGTAAATTTAAATTACTGTATATAAATATTTAAATTAAACAAATAAATACAAGGTACAGCAGGACACTAAACTGGGGACAATGTAATTACCTAAATTATTTAGTAATTATTAGTACTAAAATACTAGCGTGTGCTGGGGGTTGCACGCCGGGCCAGGCAAAGTGTTAATAAGTAAGTTTTGAAACCACAAATTGCAATAGTAAATACTTACTCTAGGAGAATCTCATTAGTAACATTCGTACAATTCTGCAGGTGGACCGTCTCCAAGGAAGGACACTTTGCTAAGCTTCTTAGAGATGAAGATGTTAAAGCAAGATGGTAGAAAATCACAGCCTTCAACTTTTTCAAAATGGAAAAGTCAGTCTCTCCACCCGGGTTCACCTTCTGAAGTATGAATAAATTGGTTAAACTTTCATGTAATTAATTTCCATCATCCAATTTTGTGTATCAAATACAAACAAGAAAATTTTATAATTCACTGTTTTAATCTCAATTTATATTTGTGGTTTACAAGAATCCAACCTCAATTGATGAGACCTTGAAAATGCAGCCAAATGTGTACAAGTATGGTTCCGTCCTGTTGCTTGAACCCAACAGGTCCTTATCAGAAATGAGTCAAAATCGAGATTTCTATCGTAGTATGGCTGCATACTAACTCGGGTTAATGACCTTCCAAAGGATTAACCACTTAACTGCGCCAACCAAGTATTCTCGGTCAGCAGGAAACTGCGCCAACCGAGAAAACTTTTTGATTTTTCAGTACCAATTCTAAATGAGTACGAGGTTGGTTGTGTGCGAAATGGACTCTTAGGACCTCCAGTGAGAGGCAGCCATCTTTGAAAAAATTCCCAGGATGCCCTAGGGCTGCTGGCTGGGTTAGTACTGAATGACCAACCATGGTGGCGCACGCGCCTCTGGCTCCCAAACACCTGTCCAACGCGGTGTTGAAAGATAACGCTCTGTCAGTGAAATTCAAACCTTATTGTTTGAAGAACATAAGGGTCATAATATTGGTGAAGCTAGGGGGCAATAAGGACCTAACACAAAGGTCGGATGCAAGTGATACAGCACCTATGAGGACGATACAGCGAGCGTATCTAGTTGTAGCTCGGGTCGTCACCCTTGCAATCCTATGCTATCTACAATTTATTTAGACGATACATAGATGAATCCTTTTCTGCGTTCAGTGATGATGCATCCGATACAAGTAGCATAGAGGAACAGTGTTAGCGGCTTCCATGGTGGTGGTTTCCATAGATATTTTCAAGAATACCTGAATTTCTTCCTAACTGACGGACACTCGTTGAGGCTGGCTGAATCTCTTCCTGTGTGGGACCATACAAAGCGATCTTTTCAAGACTACCTTACAAATTGATCTTTTGGTTATTGTCATATGTTGATTCACAGGGTAATGCAGTTATTGTTATATGACTTTAAACAATTATTGTCTGGGTTTTACATGTATGATGTAAATAAGGCTATAATAGGTCTATGTGGATGTAATGGAATTTACTGTGAGCCTTAAGAAATCCTGCTCTCAATATACTCATTACCAACAAATGTCATTACTCATTAGTTAATTACATTGTGAATGTGCTTATCGCCATATAACCATTTATATAATTATTGCCTGGGTTTTACACGTACAATGCAAACAACGATATACTGTAGTTGGTCTATGTGCATGAAAGAGTTTATGTTGACCCTTTAAAATAATAAGCCTGATTAGTTACTAGTAAATCCTGTTACTTATTAGTTAGTTACTAGGTGCATGCAGTTATCGTCATATGATGATTATCATCTGTCGGTGCACATTGTTGGCTTATGCCTTTGTTTCAGTCTATACTCTCACCCATATGGGGCAAATTAGCCCAAATATTATCGCCCAGAGCTCAACACCATTAAATATTATGTTCGTGTCCTTTTCACTACATACGTAGGGTTCGCTACTTGTTCATTACGTAGGCTTGCAATGGAGTATACAAGATAAACAAATCAGTTGAAACTATCGTGAGTTGTGAATTATGTTATTTATCAAGCTATTCAACACACACACTTGTAAATAAAGAGAAATAAGTGGTGAAAAGAAGCATTAATCACTTTGTGGATAATAGGGCCTGACAGCCGATTTGACAGCACTTGGGATTCGTAGTCCTAAAGTTCCGGGTTCGATCCCCGGTGGAGGTGGAAAGAAATGGGCAGTTTCTTTCACCCTGATGCCCCTGTTCACCAAACAGTAAATAGGTACCTAGGAGTTGGACAGCTGCTACGGGCTGCTTCCAGGGAGGACGGGGGGTTAACAAAAAAGATACCTGGTCGATGACCAGACCACGGGGACGCCAAGCCCTGACAATCTCAAGATGACCTCAAGATAACAGTGTCGGCAAAGTCGAGTACACGGCACGGGCAGGCACCAGACTATCTTCTAGAGCACCTCCACCCAATGAAACGATAAATATTCACTCATTTCACATTTTTCTTACATTTTGCCTACAAATTAATTTTTTTTTTTTTGCACATAGGTGGGTATGATCATTATTTCATAGCCAAGTCATTTTGATCTCATAAAAGTTGCAAACAGGTTTAGTATTTCATCATCTATGCATTTAACCACTGTACTATGCACACTATAATATGGGAAAGGGAGGGTGCACAAACCAGCTTATCACTTTTGTTAGGAAGTACTGTATATTGTAAGATTCAAAACTCACACGCCATAGGTTGGGTACCAGATGTAGGCCAGAGGACTCCAGTGTGTCTGCCATTTTCTAAAAAAAATCCTATCATGCCCCACAGCAACTTCGAAGGTGTTTGCACTTTGAAAACGATGATAATGTGGATCGAATTTATACTGTGGAAAGTGTTAAATGATGCAAGAACAACTTTAAGACTTCTTTGCAATAGGCTACAGTACAGTGATTAACAGATTGCTAGTTCTTTTCAAGGGAAGTCATGCTTTCAAGCAGTACATACCATCAAAATAGTACAGTACATGTTTGGACAGAAATTGTATGTGAGATTGGGAAACTGGAATAGTTGGTATTATAGTTCTTTCTTGAAGACTTATACTTCTGTGAATATTTCTTATACTTGCTGGGAGGATATTAAACAACCGTAGACCTCTGATGTTCAGTATTATCTGATTGTGCCTATGCCACCTTTACTCTTGTCTAGTCTGCATTTCCTGTGATATCATTCGCTTCATTGTGTTATTTCACTGTGCAAATTTGTGACTACTAGTATGTTCCATGTATATATTATGCGATACTTCACTCCTCTCTTTTTCCAGGTAGTAGATTTTGAGTGCTTTGGAGGCAATCCCAATAATTTAGGTGCTCTATCGTGTCTGTGTGTGACATACAGAAGGTTATCTGCATTTCCTTCATTTCAGCTATCACTCCTGCTCTGAAAGGGAAAGTGAGTATAGAACAGTACTCAAGATGGGACAAAGTGTTTTACAGTACTCTGAGCATTGCAATGGGATCCCTGGATTTGAAGATTCCCATAATCCATCCTATCATTTTTGTAACCGACACTACATTTGTTTGCTTGCTCCCTAAATGTTAGGTCATCAGTCATTATTCCTAGATCCTTTACATGTTGCTTTTCTACTATAGGTAGATCCGAATGCATCTTTTACTTTATATATTGTAAAGGTCTAATTTTTTTTAAATATCTAAGTAACTGGAATTTATCACTTAAGTATGTTATTTTTCCAGTGCCCAGTCAAAAACTTGCTTTTAATATCTGCCTGTAGTTTTTCTGTGTCATCTACATTATTACTTTTCATGCAGATTTTTGAAATCTGCAAAGGACAGATGACACCGATAAGCTCCAGAGGCTCCCTGGAGCTTATCGGGCTAATGTATGTTATATTAGACCGGGACATTACCTGGTTGATACCTGGTTGATGGGGTTCTGGGAGTTCTTCTACTCCCCAAGCCCGGCCCGAGGCCAGGCTCGACTTGTGAGAGTTTGGTCCACCAGGCTGTTGCTTGGAGCGGCCCGCAGGGCCACGTACCCACCACAGCCCGGCTGATCCGGAACTTCTCTTAGAAAACCGTCCAGTTTTCTCTTGAAGATGTCCACGGTTGTTCCGGCAATATTTCTTATGCTCGCTGGGAAGACGTTGAACAACCGCGGACCCCTGATGTTTATACAGTGCTCTCTGATTGTGCCTATGGCACCTCTGCTCTTCACTGGTTCAATCTTGCATTTTCTTCCATACCGTTCACTCCAGTACGTTATTTTACTGTGTAGATTTGGGACCTGACCCTCCAGTATTTTCCATGTGTATATTATTTGGTATCTCTCTCGTCTCCTTTCTAGAGAGTACATTTGGAGAGCTTTGAGACGATCCCAATAATTTAGGTGTTTTATCTTGTCTATGCGTGCCGTATATGTTCTCTGTATTCCCTCTATTTCAGCAATCTCTCCTGCTCTGAAGGGGGAAGTGAGTACTGAGCAGTAAGGAGTTAGCTAAGCTAAGGAGCTAAGCTAAGGAACATTAGCTAAGGAGTTCAGACCTACCAGGGACCAGCCCCAGAACCTGGCCCCTTTAGAGAGGTTTCAGGGAGCAATGGCCCTGGAAAACCCCCTTGTAATTGGGGTTTTCCTTATCTGCCATCAACTGGGGTTAGACACCCAGAAAGGTAGGCATAACAAAACAAACCCCACATGGTAAAAAACTAAAACAAAAAACCGAACAGAGAGGTAGAAACTCCCTACAATCGAAAGGAAACAAGCAAACAAGCAAACATCACACTTTACTGCCGCGCCGATCGTCTGCGCAGCCTTCCCTGCCCCAAGAGGGGGAGGGGGAAGCCCCGGACTTAACCGCGCCGGCTGCCTAGCATCAGTTCGGAAGCCAAGCTTCAACCAACGCAAAAAAACCGCTCAACAGTGGGAGGGAGGGTTGCCAGGGAGCCTCCGGGGCTCGCCCAGAAAATCGGGTTTCATTACATTCAACGCTGGTTTTCTGTGGGGAGCCCCTACGGCTCCCTGGAGCTCTATACCCAAAGAGAAAGAAAAGAAAGGGCTGACCTGGGAGGAGGTCGCCACAAACTCTGCAACGTGAAGCCGAGACAACAGGCTGCAACCTGCAACCCAAGACAACACAAGAACGCACAGGAGCAGACACGCGCGCAAAGAACTGGCGGCCAGGAACCTGTGCAATCCCCCAAATACTCACACCCGAAATGAGCCCTAGACGTCACCAACACGGCAGCGAAAGCTGTAAACGTCCGAACGGCACGGGCGTAAGGATAAACCGCAGGCTGGTAGACTTAAAAACTCTGAGGACAACCTGGGAGACCCGAGCCCTGAAACAGGGAACGAGGGGAACTGGATCAACCCAAAGCCCATCCCCTGTCATGGTACGCAGGTAACGGCAAAGAGCCGCAACCTGACAACAAATGACGCACCCCCGGCCGAACCAATCAAGCATCAATAACCCAAGGACCCCTCCGGAAAGCAGCCGTCTCGACCGTCGCAAGAAGGACAGAGAAAGGTTGCAAACGTACAAACCTACTAGCAGTACCAAAAAGAGCAGAAACCCCTGCACCGGGAGAGAGCCAGAAGCTCCCAGACCCACATTGGCCCATGCCAACAAAATACGGCATACGAAAAACAAACTTTAACCGAAGGGGCTACCACAAACTGAGAAGATGACAAGAGGGAACCCTGATCAAGGACCAGGACGGCTCAGGTGATGCACGAGCAGGCCAGAGGTGAAAACACGAGAAAGTGTACAGAACGGAGAAGGCAGAACCAGGTCACACACACGAGGAAAAAGCCTCCTGAACCAACACATGGGGCCCAAGAGGAAGAAATCTCTGGACCAAAACCAAAGAACCCAAAAGAACCCGGAATAGAACCCGGGGAGCCCATACTACCACATCTGCCGGGAAAAATACATCACAAAGGCAGAGCACAGCCCCCAGACAGAGCCCCCAGGGAAACGGCCAAAACAAACCAAAAACCGTGGGACAAGGTGTAGGAGCAAGGAGCAAGTCTGTGTCTTGGCCCCAACTAAACCCCGCCCCGACCCTGAAACCCGCAGACATTCCGGAGCCGGGAACAGGGAGGGAAAGAGGCGAACACCTAACCAAAACGGGGCAGCCCCTTGGTATCCAAGTGGGAAACCTACCTAGCGTGTTGCAGCAACCTAACCTAGCTCGCAACACTGATGCCGCCCGTACTCTGAACAGTAATAACATCAGGAGAGTACTGGAGAACAAGCAGAGAACCTCTCGCAAGACTCCGGGTCAAGGTGTACACCGTACAAAGTACAAAGTACACCGTCTCCAGAGGCAACAGGAACCGGTTGCCGCGTAGGTAGTAGGTCGCGCAACACCTTTATGCCCTAACCAGCACAATACCAATTCCTACCCAAGGCCAAACAAGAACCCCAAGCCCTAGCTGGTCCTAATAGCGAGGCAAATTCCGAGCAGCAAGAACCTCTACGGGAATGGTTCCCGAACACCCCAGGAAAGATAACCCTGTCACGCAGGGGCAGTACTCGCAGGGCACTTAGGGAAGGAAGCCTTTAAGTGCATACAGCCCTGGTACTGATAAGGAACATCTGGCTACCTCACAACACAACACACGGCAGTGAACGCCACAAAAGGCAAACACCGCCTAGGAAACCGAGGCCAGACAAGCATCTGTCCTGGTTGACATTAGCTTACGAACTGATGCTTGGCAGCCAGCGTGGTGAGGTCTGGGGCTCCCCCTCCCCCTCCCGGGGCGGGGAGGGCTGCGCGGACGATCGGCGCGGCAGTAAGGTGTGATGTTTGCTTGTTTGCGCGTTTCCTTGGCATTGTAGGGAGTTTCTACCTCTGTTCAGTTTTTCGTTTTAGATTTTTACCATGTGGGGTTTGTTTTGTCATGCCTACCTTTCTGGGTGCCTAACCCCAGTCGATGGCAAATAAGGAAAACCCCAACCACAAGGGGGTTTTCCAGGGCCATTGCTCCCTGAAACCTCTCTGAAGGGGGCCAGGTTCTGGCGCTGGTCCCTGGTAGGTCTGAACTCCTTAGCTAATGCCCCGATCTAATATAACATACATTAGCCCGATAAGCTCCAGGGAGTCGTAGGGGCTCTCCACAGGAAAAATATCTGCAGAAAGAAAGTTTGCCACTCAAGACCCCACTTCCCCTCGACAATGCTCCTGCTCATCCTCCAGGCTTGAAATACGCATTGTTGTACAAATTTAATTATGTTACAATAAAGTTCCTTCCTCCTAATGACACACCTCTAATTCAGATTATGGGCCAGAAAATCATTGCCAATTTTAAGAAACTTCATAAAAGAGCACTTTTCCAGAAATGTTTTGAAGTGACATGCCACAAACCTCACCCTCAAAGAGTTCTGGAAAAACCATTTTAACATTTGTAACAGTCTGTACTGCTCAAGGCAAGAGGAACAGCTAAATACCAAATTACGTACGTCTGCTTGCATTATTTAAATAATCTTAGACCATCATACAACCTTGTACTATTAATATATCTTTCACAGAGTAATCACACTAACATGACTGCCTCAATGAGGAAATCCGTAGGAGCCGTGATGAGGATTCGAACCTATACGGTGGGTAGTTCCACGCACACGCCCCCAACAATCGGGCCACGATATAGAGATGCTCTCGAGCGTGTGCACTGGACTACCCACCGCATAGGTTTGGATCCTCATCACAGTTCCTATGGATTTTCTCATTGATGCAGTCATGTTAGTGTGAGAGCCAGAGTGCATGGGGAAATTGTGAAAATCCTGTTCTGGGATCAGTGGAAGTTTCAGGAAATCCTTGTGTGTTCAGTAGAACTCCAGGTTGTAATCCTTTTGTTGGGGCGCGTGCGTGGGACTGCCCACTGCATAGGTTCGAATCCTCATCACAACTCCTACGGATTTTCTCAATATATTTGTATTGCAGCGTAGAAGGTGGGAAAATCTACCTTATCACAGTCTCCATGAGAACTTAAGACTAGCAATTACACGTATAATGATATCAGATAAAGGAGGAGGACCAACGAGCTATCATATCTCATACTTTACCACCAGAATATAGAGTAAACTCTGAAGTGCATATTCTATAAAATTGTAAAATTTTTAAACTTTTAGCTGCAAGTACAAATAAACAATTCATAATATATATTGGATATATAAACAGGATTAAGAAGCTGTGGTATTTTGATGCACCAAAATAAATATTATACATTTAAATGCAAGAAACCAAATGAGTTCTATAATTTAAAAAAGAAAATATAAGTTTTGGAAACCCCAAGTTGAATTAGAAGGTATAATTGAAAACTAGTAAAAAAAAGGTGTACAAAAGGATAAAATGAAGTACAGTACCCGTTCACCACTGTAGTGCAGCTGCCTGCAAGTACTGTAATTCCAAGCCGTGTATACTGTACTAAAGCCACTGGAAATATAACTACAGTACTAGGAAATACAACAAGCAAGGAAGTTTTAAAACTGTACTGTACTTGTAATTACTAATAACCAAAACAAGCAAACATACATATCTAGTGTTTCTCCCTTGCTATATACTGTACAGTATTTGCTGGCGTACAAGACTTTTTTTTTAGTATAAAAATATTGGCCTGCGTCTAATGCGGCCATATTACAGAGGGGAGACCGAGCGCCGTAGGCTCGGGAGCTGGATGAGCATACCGAGTAAGTTTGCTAGGCACAAAAATCATTACTTACAAAATATTAAACACAAGCCGAATTATCACTGTCTTAAGAAACCTTTGTTCATCATCTAAATGAATAATGTTCCTTGAAATTTGAAAAGGAATGTTAAACTTTTATGTCTATCAGCTATTTATAATGAGTGGCTGACAAAACCCTAACACAGAGGTTATCTTCTTGAGGTTATCTTGAGATGATTTCGGGGCTTTTTTTTTTTAGTGTCCCCGCGGCCCGGTCCTCGACCAGGCCTCCACCCCCAGGAAGCAGCCCGTGACAGCTGACTAACACCCAGGTACCTATTTTACTGCTAGGTAACAGGGGCATAGGGTGAAAGAAACTCTGCCCATTGTTTCTCGCCGGCGCCTGGGATCGAACCCAAGACCACAGGATCACAAGTCCCGCGTGCTGTCCGCTCGGCCGACCGGCTCCCTTTTAGGGGTTAGGGTTTTGGCGGCGTCTTGTGGCAACACAAAACATCACATCTAGAAATACAAGTTTCACATCCTGAATAGCAATACTTTATTCCAGTATACTGTCACAATATTTTATTTCCTGCACAGAATCAAACATATTTCCATACAAACCCACTTCTCGTAAAATAGGGGTGCGTCTTGTGCACTGGCAAATACTGTATATTCAATACTTGCTATCCCTTCTACAAGTCTATATTATCTACCAGTGAAAAATCATAATTTAATGCAATACTTACATCCACAATAGCAAGGGTTTCAAGATCAGGCATATTTTCCAGAATATTTGGTAGGGTTATGTGCGCTGTATCAACAGCTAAATCCTGCAATGGAAAAAAAAAACATGGCATTCAACAAATATTACCAAGCTAGGAATATGAAGATTTTAAGTGAAAAAGCCCCTTTTGGCACTCACCCTGCGATCCGTCCAATGTGTACACGGTTCTCCGTGTTGATTTTTAAGGGGGCGTCAGTCAATTTGTTAAAAGTTGTTCAATGTCAACATCTTTTTTTTTTTAACTAGTTGTATATGAAAAGGGCTGCAATTGTGCCAAGTTTCAGTATTGCAGCCCAAATAGAAAGGGAGAATTTTAATTTTATTTTTTTTAACGAATATTACACATTTTCAAGTGTTCATAAATAACCACACCTTTCAGATAGTTTTCAATTTTTTTCACACACACACACACACACACACACACACACACACGCGCGCGCGCTTCTAAGTGTTGATATCACACCAAACCCATCTCCTGAAGCCCACATAAAGAGAATTACATATGCGGCATACGCGAGGCTGGCTAACATCAGAACTGCCTTCAGGAACCTGTGTACGGAATCATTCAGAACCTTATACTGTATACCACATGTAAGACCAATCCTGAAGTATGTGTACTCTACACTGGCAGAGGGTCCCAGCATGGAGCTCATACCTTGTCAAGCACAAGACGAAGCTGGAAAAAAGTTCAAAGGTATGCCACTAGACTAGTCCCAGAACTAAGAGGCATGAGTTACGAGGAAAGGCTGCGGGAAATGCACCTTACTACACTTTTAAGACAAGAGTAAGGGGAGACATGATCACTGCCTACAAAATCCTCAGGGGAATTGACAGGGTAGACAAGGATAAACTATTCAACACTGGTGGTATGAACAAGGGGACACAGGTGGAAACTGAGTACCCACATGAGCCACAGGGACATTACAAAGAACTTTTTCAGTGTCAGTAGTTAACAGATGTAATGCATTAGGCAGTGATGTGGTGGAGGCTGACTCTATACACAGGTTCAAATGTAGATATGACAGAGCCCAGTAGGCTCAGGAATCTGTACACCAGTTGATCGACAGTTGAGAGGCGGGACCAAAGCGCCAAAGCTCAACCCCAGCAAGCACAAATAGGCGAGCGCGTGCGCGCACACACGAAATAAAACATGAAATACCACTAGGAGCCAGTGAACATTGTGTCAGTCTTTGACTACATGATTGAACTTAAAATTGTGACCAAAGGACAAGAGGTCCGGGAAAGGAGACTATTACAGAAAAGGGGACTAAAGAAGGAAAAGAGATTACCCGGGAGAAGTGCAGTGGGAGGAAGAAATTAGATGAAAAACAGTGCAAGGTATGATGAACCAAGTCATATGGAAACACAAGGAGGCTGAAGAGAGATTTATTCTAACAGTAAAGGAAAAGAGCAGGAGGGAATATAATGACCCATGGTTTAATAGACAGTGTCAGGAAGCAAAGGTGAGAAGCAGGAGGGAGTGGAGGAAGTACAGAAGACAAAGGACAGAGGACAACAGGATTAGATGTAACAAAGCTAGGAACAATTACATTAGCATAAGACGAGTATCGGAAAGAAATTACGAGAATGATATTGCAATCAAAGCGAAAAAGCAACCTAAATTACTACATAGAAGGAAGATGTCAGTAAATGACCAAGTGACAAAACTGAGGAAAACAGAAGGGGAATATACAGAAAGTGACAAGGAAATCTGCGAGGTACTGAATGCAAGTTTCCATGGAGTGTTCACAACCGAGCCTGAGCAGCTCCCATTGTTAGAAGAGATTACCCCTAGATGAAAGACTATCGGATATAGAGGCGACAGCAGAGGTGGTCATGAAACAGTTGACAACACTAGATACAAATAAAGCGGTTGGACCAGACAAAGTATCACCGTGAATACTAAAAGAGGCAGTGCAGGCTCTCAGCGTGCCTCTGGCAATGATCTTTAAGGAGTCACTTATGTCGGGAGAATTGCCCAGTTGCTGGAAGGAGGCAAATGTCGTACCGATTTTCAAGAAAGGAGATAGGGAGGAGGCACTTGACTACAGACCCGTATCACTGACAAGCATCCCCTGCAAAATACTTGAAACAATAATTAGGCAAAGACTTGTTAAGCACCTGGAGAACATTAGGTTTGTAAACAAGCACCAACATGGATTCTGGACAGGGAAATCATGCCTAACAAACCTTTTGGAATTCTATGATAAAGTAACAAGGATAAGGTAGGACAGAGAAGGCTGGGCAGACTGCATATTTCTTGACTGCCAAAAGGCCTTTGATACAGTACCGCACATGAGACTGCTATACAACCTTGAGTCGGGCAGGAGTAAGTGAAAAGGCCCTAGCATGGGTAAGGAACTACCTAACAGGAAGGAGCCAGAGGGTAATGTTAAGGGGCGAGAAGTCTGACTGGCAAACAGTAACAAGTGGAGTACCTCAAGGATCAGTGCTGGGACCAATCCTCTTTCTAATTTATGTAAATTATATGTTTACAGGAGTGGAATCCTACATGTCAATGTTCGCAGATGACGCAAAATTACTGAGAAGAGTTGTGACATAAGAATTGTAAGGTCCTCCAAGAGGACCTAGACAGGTTGCAGAGATGGTCAGAGAAATGGCTACTGGAGTTCAACACGAGTACTGTAACTGTAAAGTTATGGAAATGGGATCAGGTAATAGGTGACCAAAGGAACAGTACACAATGAAGGGGAACTGCCTACCTGTAATGATTCGAGAAAGAGACCTGGGAATGGACGTAACATCTAATCTAACTCCTGAGGCACATATAAATAGGATAATGACAGCAGTGCACTCTACACTGACAAAAATTAGAACTTAATTCAGAAACCAAAGTGAGGAGGCTTTTAGGGCGCTTTACACTGCCTACGTGAGACCAGTCTTGGAGCTCCCACCTAAAGAAACACAAACTGGAGAAGGTTCAGAGGTGGTTCAACGAAGAGGTTGACAACCATTTTTTTTTTCAACGAAACGTTGAAAGCTGAAACGTTTTCAGAGGTGGTTCAACGAAAAGCTGACAACCACTTTTTTTTTTTACCCTCTCCGTTTTTTCAATGTGGATTGTGTTGTGACTTCTACATCTTTGAGAATGCATATCCAGCACTAATTATGTGAAGTTGGAACAAAATTGTTCAACATATTAATCAGCCAAAGGTGGCAGTAGTGACTTTTATGGCTGATTTAGTTCAAACTCTTGTCTGTCTATTTAGCTTGTATTGATGAAAGAGGACCAGATGAGGGCCTTATCACTAATAAATGGGCAATAAAGTTATTGCAATATGTGTGTTTCGTTGTAAGAAAGATAAGAATGAAGGTGACTGCAGAAGGCCTATTGGCCCATACAAGGCAGCTACTATTTATATCCACCCAATCTCATTCATATATATGCAACCTACTGTTACAGTTAAGGGGCCCCAGTGTTTTTCAGGTATCCCTAACATATCCTATATTGTTTTTTGGGGGTTATTTTTTCTCTCACGTATCACACGTATTGACCTACAACTTTCACATATTCGAATATGAATGCCAAGCAATCTTAATAACTTAAATGTCAAAATAGAAGTACTGTACTATATTCATTGTCGAACTTTAAATGCATTTTTCTGTATGAAAAACACATTTTCAACTTTGAGACCTATTAAAAAATTCAGTTTATGACCAATTCCTCATTTTTACATATGTGCAAAATTCTTAGTGCTAAGGTTCCTTGTGAATCTTGTCATAAAGCCATAACTTTTGGAGTTATAAATATTTAGCATTAAATATTTAGCATATCAATTTGGCACATATTTGGATCTTGAGGTTATCTTGAGATGATTTCGGGCTTTAGTGTCCCCGCAGCCCGGTCCTCGACCAGGCCTCCACCCCCAGGAAGCAGCCCGTGACAGCTGACTAACACCCAGGTACCTATTTTACTGCTAGGTAACAGGGGCATAGGGTGAAAGAAACTCTGCCCATTGTTTCTCGCAGGCGCCCGGGATAGAACCCGGGACCACAGGATCACAAGTCCAGCGTGCTGTCCGCTCAGCCGACCGGCTCCCTACTGGCTGTGGATGGCCACATTCAAAAAATGTTTTACAGTAAACTATATTCTTAAACAATAATTTTCCCCACTAGCAAAGGAACATTATATGCCATTCTGAGACCATAATGAATAATATAATTGGTGACATTGTAAGGTTTTTTAGCGATTTGAACTTGTGAATTTTCTTTGTTTTTTAACTTTTCATAGTGTAATGTTGATCCATTAGGAAACGTTTGAGCATTTCCCATGAAGATTATGCACACCAAAAAATAAGTGTGTGAGGAAGTTTCGGTACACACGCACTGGGCCCCTTAACACTTTAATGCGCGCGGGCCCCGTGAAAAAAAATAGCGCATTGTGCGCGCGGCATTTTGGGCTCTTACATAAACACCAAACAGTGTGTAATCTTTTCACTCTCCTGACACCAATTCTCGAGCTACGCATTTCATTTTGGTATCAATGTGTTGGCAATAAAATTCTCTACAAGATCATATGTACAACATGTCACCAAAGCATTAGCTATCCCACCACGAAATAAATAAAACGTAGATCACTCGCCGTGACGGACAAACAGCAACAAAATGTTCATACTCTTTTGTTTGTTGTCAGCTCCACATTAGTCCTACAGCGTTAAATTTTATATCACTGAACTCGCAATAAAATTCCCTACACAGACATATGCATATAAATGTAGAATCATAATCGCGGCCCACACCAAGAGTATGTGAAGTGGGCGATTACCCTCGTTGTGTCAACAACTCAATAGTCTCTCCTTTAAGTTACAATACAATGCCATTTTCTCATATAGGCCATGTGCCTATTAGAGAAAATGGAAATTTAATGGCAAACATTTTCATACTAACCCCAAGTGGATCGAATAAGAATTGGATTTTATATGTTGTTTTTTAGATCGGCCGGCTATTTACGGCGCGGAACCCGTTGGCCGAGTGGGCCGTATATTTACGGTCAGGTTGTATCAAAGTGTTTTAATGTACCGAGTTTTGTAAAGCAATGTATTGTCTATTTTTGTATGCACTTTTAAATGCTTGGAGGTTTCCACCAAATATCTGATCATGACTACATATCCTAATTGTGATTGGTACCAGAGTGATTGGATTGGAGGATGTTTAGTGTTCTAAAAGCACCAATTTTTCAGATTGGTGCCATAAATCTGGATACCCTTCGGATAATGGAAAGAAAACTACCAAAATATCTGACCATTATGCGTGTACTGTACACGCAATGTTAATCTCACTTTAAAAAGAAAGGCAAAACTAGCGCACTTTTATATACTTCCTTGTGATCAAAAAGAAATAAAATGTCATACCTTTAGCTTCTTGAAGTGGACCAAAGAATCATTGACCGTTGGAATCCTGATTGATACGGAGAGCCTTTTAATGTTGGGACAATTCATTCCAATGTGTTCAAGCACCTCTTCCGAGACCCTGAAAAAATACAAACAACATTTTGAACTTAATATACAAGATTCTCATTTTGCACATATAGTGCTCCATGTGATGCTAGTAAATTGAAAGCATTCATGCCCTTTCCATTTATAAATAAAGCCATCCTCAAATTATTTCCTGCGGCTTTCATTTTATGCTTGCATTAATACTTTAAGTGGTTTCCAACCACTATAAATCCAGAATACTGTATATTTTCTTCTAATGTTTACCCAACAAATTAAGGTGTCAACTGTAAGAAATATAGCATTACAGATCCAAGATGCGCTGTTGTAAATGGCGAGTATGCAGGTCTTATGTTTTCTACTACTGTAATGTAGTAGGTGTTACCACTGTAATGTTTTACCATTTCGTGGCAAAACGTTTTCCCAATAATGTAGTCAAAATTCTGTTTTTTCCAATTTATTTTCTTCTGAAACACTTTAGTCGAGCGAGTTCTAACTCGCAGGGTAAACCAGCCTAACCTAATATTAACGAACCTATGGTAACCCACCTTATTAGTTACAGCAAGTCATTGATATCATAATCTCTACTTTAAATAGATTTGCCAAACATGAGTTTCAGTTGAAAATAACTGATCGACTGTGAGAGTTATGGCAAGTGGGAGGACCTCACCAGATTTTTAGGCTTCAAATGTCAACTTATACACAGGCATATACGGTAATTATATTTTCTCCAATAACTATCCTGTTCTTGCCCCCTTCTCTTATATTTTTGCCATTCTGAACATCCATTTCCCCAGTTACAGAAACCATTAAAATGAGGCTTATAATTAATACTGCCGACTAGTAACTTACACACACTCATCCATCTCAAGTATCGACATAAGTGGGCATCGGCTACCGATTTCCTTCAGATACGAAGGACCAATATTTAGACAGTTGGATATAACAAGTTCCTGAAAAGTAAAGAAATTATTATTAATTACAATATATATTTTTAGGAGGCCAAAAGACAAAGTAAAATATGTTTACTTTCAGTTAATTTTTTAAACAAAATACTTATTAATAAATAGTATCAATACAATATATCAGACAAACTCATTAAGCCATTCCCCCCCAACTAATTTTTTTTTATGTAATGAAATGCCTTACTGGTAAGGATGCTGATGGCTCTCTAAAGTTCTCTCGTCGAGATTAGCTATTAACTAGAACAGCGGCTCACAGAGTCACATTAGTTCTGCTTGCCCTACTGGAGGACCAGCCAGAACCTGACCCTTCCCTCACCCCCTCACAGAGACGCGCACACACACAGTGACAACCACCCCACTGGGAAAGTAGAAAATCAGCAAAACATTACAGACAACTGCAAGACAAAGACCGAGTTTTTGGAGACAAAAACCTCAAAATTGCTAACAAACTCCCCAAAAAATTCAAATAATATGGCAAACGTTCAAAACCAGCTTGATCCCATTAGAACTTTAAACCAAATGAACCTTGTATGGAAGGAGGGTCTCGGGGAGCCACGGAATATACCAGAAAAATAAATTTCATTACATTCACCACTGGTTTAGTGTTGAATGTAAGGAAGCCCCTCAGTGGCTTCCTGAAGTTAACCAACCACGTAAAAGAAAAATGGAGAGGGGGGGGGGGAGGAAGACTCACTAGGAGAGACCTTAGGTATCAAAGTGAAGGAGAGGCTAGGAAAGAATTTAAAAGCTACAAAGTAATGATGAAAAGCCAGGACAGTGACCAAATACCGAGCCGTTACGACCCTGTTAGACCGCCCATACCTCTGACCCTGAATATCAGCCCAAGACATGTTGGTGAAAATCAGAGCAAGAGAAATCACTATATGACTATTTGACAGTACTAAACCACGCAGTCCCCATGGCGAAGTGGTAATACACATACCTGGCGTTTCGCGAGGGTTCGTATCCTGGCCGGGAAGGATTGAGTATGCGCCAATCTTTAACTGTAGCCTCTGTTTGGCCAGCAGTGAATGGGGTACCTGGTTGTTAGACGATTTGGTGGGTCATATTCTGGGAAAAATTAGGAGTAACCACTGTGCTGCGCCAACCGAGAAAACTCTACCGGTGGGATACTGCACCAACCGAGAAAACACTTTTTGAATATTTCGTACCCATTTGAAACACGTGTGCGGTAGGTTGCGTACGAAATGGACTCTTAGGACCTCCAGTGAGAGGCAGCCATCTTTGAAAAAATTCCCATAATGTCCTAGGGCTGCTGGCCGAGTTAGTATTGAGTGAGTAACCATGGGCGGCGAACGGGCGCCTCTGGCTCCCAAACACCTGTCTGATGCGGTGTTAAAAGATTGTTCTCAGTCGGTGAAATTCAGACATTGTTTGAACAACATAAGGGTCATGATATTGATGAAGCTAGGCACAATAAGGACCTAACACAAAGGTTGGATGCAAGTGATACAGCACCGATGAGAACGACATAGTGAGTGTATTCAGTTGTAGCCGAGCGCTACACTTGCCCACCCATACCATCTCCAATTTTTATAGACAATACATAGATGAATCATTTTCTGGGTTCAGTGATGATGCATCTGATACAAGTAGCATAGATGAAAAGTGTTAGCGGTTTCCACTGTTGTTTTTTCCATAGATATTTTCACGAATAGCCGAATCTCTTCCCGATTGACTTGAATTTTTTCGAGAATGAATCTCTTTCAGTGATCTTTTCAAGACTACCTTACAAATTGAGTGTTTCCTATAATCTTTTCAATACTACCTTATGCTTCACAAGCTTGGCTACATACCACCTACAAGTACTAAAGCCAAGGGTGTACGTGAGTGCGTTATTTGTAAGCACACAGAATGAAGAAACAGGAAGCAGAAATCTATTTGTACCTGGAGCAACGAGAGCGAACTCGCGCTGTGTACCATGGAATGCTTCACTGATTATCACTCACTTTCGAAGTACTGAGTGTGTAATACAGTGTGTTACTGTGTAAATAGTGTTAAACTGTACATAATGTAATTGTGAGTTTTTAACAAGTAATATTACAACAAACATTTATTGTTGACATTACCGACTCGTGTATCACCGTTCCATGAACATTATGAATGTTCTACTGCATACATATTGTAAAGGAAACAAATATGTATCATATATGATAAAAAATGTATATAAATAAAACCGCATTGGAAATACCCAGAACAAATAATTGAAAATATATCTGTGGCAACTCTGTGTGCTTGAATGGCCCGCACGACCACCTCTGGCTGGAAGCTTCACGCACAGCAAACACGCCCCCTTCTCCACGTTTCCACAGCCGAAGTGGAATATTTTTTTTAGTTTTTTTACATGTACGTGTTCAGAGAAGGCAATTTATCATTTTATAAAGATTTAAAAAAAAAAAAAAATGCGAACTATTTTATGCACACAGGGGGGAATGTTACAAACTCAGCGCATCACAGTGGTTAAGGACTTCCCCCAAAATGCTATGCGTGCTAGTGGCCGTACAAGAATGTAAGAACTCTTATATACCATCACATGAATCCCCTGCATAGTAGTGAAACTGCCTTTTCCACAACCTCAATGCCTCTGTACTGGTAGTTCACCTCTACACCAGCCAAGATGAGTCATCAGTCCTGCCACCTCTCCGTACCCCCCCCCCCCCCAGGGCCTGGCATGTCCTGGTACGACTGAGGCAAGCTGGGCACCTCAGCTAACCGGTAGTTTGCCTTCACAAACAAGCAGTTAGCTGCTTTCAACTAGCAGTGGTGCAGCCTGAACACAAATGCGCCGCCAGCCACAAACTAGCAATTTGCTAGTAGCGCTTGTTACCACCTTGCATTGACACCTGATGCGTCATCACCTCCAGATCATATAAAGGGCACCGTCCCCTAGGAAGCCAGTGTCTCTTAGTGCTCTTGGATCGCCTTAGCCTCCTGCAACGTTGTCTGCCCTCGGTCTACGTTGTGTGCCAGATGCTGTGGTGGTACAGTAATCTTCAACACCACCATTATTTACTTGTGCAGCCTTTTCATTGTATTTCTTGCACAGTTTATTCTCTTATTAATTTTCATGTTATTTTGTTTACTATTGAAGAATATGATCGCCAAGTGTTCTCGGGTGCCATTTTTGTTCATTAACACTTTCGCGCTCTCGGCGCTAAAAAAAAAAACAATACCCCAGATGCTTTCGGCACTTCGCGCGCCTACGCGGTAAGCCCGAAAAAGTGTACACTCTTGACTGTCCTGACAATAATTGAAGGCGCACGTATTTAAATTTTGTATCACTGTGTTCGCAATGAAATTGTCTATAAGAGCATACCTATAAAATGCCGCCCAAGCATAAGGAGTATCAACACCAAATAAAAAAACTATGCAGATCACTCGCCGAGAGCGCCAAACAGCAACAAAATGTTTCCACTCTCTTAATGGTTGCGAAGCCTACAGTTGTCCTACATCGCTAATTTTGGTATCATTGGAATCGCAATAAAATTCTCTACACGGATATATGCATATGAATGTTTAATATAGGTAATTGCCCACCCGCAAGAGTGTGTGAAGTGGAGAGTAGTTAGCCGCGAGCGCACTGGCGAAAACACAGGGGGGAAATCATGCTTGGAAAGTTTATACGTTTTTTGACCCTACTTTTCTATGTACGTATTTCTTTTTTATACCAATGTGTTCGCAATAAAATTTTCTATAAGATGAACTGTATAACATTGGTACAAAGCATGTGTAAGAGAAGCGCCAAATATAGAACCACGTCGCTCAGTATGCGTTCGCGGCAGAAACGAACGCATTGTTTTCGTTCGTTTGATGTTTGTCATGTTTATACTTGTTGAAACATTTTATAATTTGTATGACAGTGATCGCAGTAAAATTCCCTACACAGACATATACATAACACATACAAATATTTCCCACGTGTTGGATATATCAACGGCTAAAGGGAACCCACTGCCACACGCTCGCCACACCCCCAAACATACTTTGTGTATTTTTTTTTTTACTCATAGAAGTTTGTGATATAATATTCATTCTGGTACCAAAACATTCGCAAATAAATTTTCTACAAAACAAAAGTATCCCCATCCATTTCGGTTAAAAAATGGAATTTATAGAAATATTTTTTCGATTGACGAGAAAAGTAGGCTGTTATGCGGAATCGTAAGAAAAAACAGCGACGAGTTATCTCTAATCTAAAGCGCGAAAGTGTTAATATTCAGCAAAATTGTTTTAATTATTTAGTTGAATTTAACTCTTTTTACCTGCAACTTCCACATTGCAAGGGCCAATAGCAGCATTTTTGTTTATTTGTGTGATGGAGAGTCATACCACCTTGGTTCAGTATAGCTGCGATACCACAACCCGTCACAATATAAATACAAAATCTGTGATCATGATCCTGGGAATAGAAAGCTTGCACCCTAGACCTAAACAACACTGCAGACACCCTGGAAAATGTAAGCCATGGAACAGGGCACCAAGGAAACGGGATCAACCCACAAAGTGTCCACTGAGGAAGAACCATTTGCAAGCAGATACTGTAGTGACAGACACCACTGAACACAAAGGACTCGCACTCGGCCAACCAACAAAGCATCACTCACCAAAGGAACCCTCTAAAACTCCTCCAACCCATTCTTTGCAAGGGAGACTGAGACACTGTCCATCATTCATTCCAAAAACTGAATGTATTTGGCCATATCTTTAACCACTGCTGCGGCGCTATTAAATATGATAAGCCCTTGTGTGCAGAAAAATAATATTCTCCCTCTTTTTTTTTCTTCTAATATTGTTAAAATGTATTCTCTGATCATGAGAAACTAAAAAAGTATATAGTCTGATATATTTTGGCCGTGATGGGACAAGAAAGGCTGGGAAAATTCAGAGGTTGACAAAAGCATGCACAAGCGGCAGTGCGGCAGGAGCCGCTGCAATGCATTTTTACATAATTATCTCTATGTCTGAAC